TACATCACAAGATTTCGAACATACATCACAAGATTATAGAATATACATCACAAGATTTCGAATATACATCACAAGATATTGAATATACATCACAAGATTTTGAACATACATCACAAGATATTGAATATACATCACAAGATTTCGAATATACATCACAAGATTTCGAACATACATCACAAGATTATAGAATATACATCACAAGATTTCGAATATACATCACAAGATATTGAATATACATCACAAGATATTGAATATACATCACAAGATTTTGAACATACATCACAAGATATTGAATATACATCACAAGATTATAGAATATACATCACAAGATTTCGAACATACATCACAAGATTATAGAATATACATCACAAGTTTTAGAATATACATCACAAGATATTGAATATACATCACAAGATTTTGAACATACATCACAAGATTTTGAATATACATCACAAGATTTCGAACATACATCACAAGATTTTGAATATACATCACAAGATTTTGAATATACATCACAAGATTTATACATCACAAGATTTTGAATATACATCACAAGATTTCGAACATACATCACAAGATTTTGAATATACATCACAAGATTATCAAATATTGCAACGTTTGACATGCCAATAAATTCAATTTTTTATACATAAATGAAATTAGTAAGATTAAAAGATATTACTGGTAAAAAAGAACCAAGCTGCCTTATAAGTTCTCTTCAAGGTAACAGGAACTTACCCATGAGATTCTGTAATAGTTGATTTGATCTCTTTTCTTATCAGTCAGTTACACCAACTTTTTTTTCCCAAAATTCGGACCTGTCTGAGGGATTTTTCTCGAAAAAATTAAATTTCTCAGAAAATCTTCAGATAAGGAAAATTTTTAATAGTACTTTCAAATTAAATGTCATAGGATTATAGGAAAATTGTCGTAAATGTTATAGCTTGAAGTAAGTGATATACATCAAGGGAAATTCCTACGTAAAGCAGATCAAAGTACTTAGAGATTATGTTAAAACAAGTGTTGAGCCAAACAAATAAAGTTAATATAAACAAGTTTGGCTTTCCAGAAAGCCTGAAATGTCATCTCTTTGGTATCAATAATGTCAAAGAAATAAAACAGAAAGGGAGATATTTTAATGCAATGAATATATGGATTATTACACCTGAAGTTCTTAAATGACTTATTCAGCAAACTCCACTGTAAAGTACGCAGTTTCTTTTGGCCGCAGTATATATATGGAAAGCATGGACGTCTGCGAGAGCACCAAAGGCGATTTTTGGTGAAATTTCATTTTAGCGGTCTTTGTTGTTCTGGGTGTTTACAATTTACTTAAATTCAAATATACTTTCCTTGAACTATATTTTCTTAACACAATACAGAATTATCAATAATAATTATCATTCATTTAAAAGCAGCTAATCATTTGACATGAATTAATTTAATAAATCCAATTACAGACTAAAAATTTATCATAAAACTAGCGTTGACCACTCTTCGTTCATTTTTTGCAGAATCTAATTGTAAGCGTGTTCTTTTTTTGCGAGAACCAGTTTTCCCTTCGCGTCAACAAATCTATATATAGAAATCACGTCATTGTCAATTCTCCTTGTGTGGCTTACCCATTTAATAAGGCATAGTACTGAGGATCAATATATATATACGACACACCGAAACTATAGATATTTATAAGCATCGTACTTCTTTTCTAAATTTTCCTTGGCTTTCAAATAGGCCTAAACCGAAAATAGATCACACACTCCTAAGCTAGTTCTTCTAAAAGAAAACCAATTTACAGGCTACTTGGAACTCTGTAAAACATCGAGGACTCCCGAAAGATTAATGGAGGCTTACACTAGGACTTCACTTCCGGCATACAATCTTAATGTGTCATCTCCCGAGGGAGATGACAATAATAACTATTTTGCATCCATCATTAGCGTATTAATGTTGGTTTAAAGACCGATAGGAATAGTGTAAAACAACTTATTAGTTAATTATTGAAATGTCCATAGAAAACATTTAGATTGTTGAAACATAACTTATTTTTTATTTTCTTCTTTTAAATTAATAATCTTTAAATCTTGTCTATTTCTTAAGATTGTATTTACCACTTTAAAAAAAAAGAAATAAAATAATTCTAAACACAAACCAATTATAGGTCTAAGATATGCAAAATTAAAATACACTGAACAAATTGTAACGGTTAAAAAGGGGGGATCTAACCTACATGGAATCTTCACCACTTTTTCATAGATAAGAAATAAAATAGTTAAGTTACTCACTCACTAGATCATTCATCAGTTTTTGATTTGATAAAAAAAAAAAAAGTTGTTATGTTTTAAATGTACATTTCGACAATCTTTGCTGATTACTTGAACAAATGCAAAAATTGCTTTTATTTTGCATTTGTTCAAATTTCACTTGTGGTTAATTTTCATAAATTTTGGCATGGATTACTCATTCTATGAAGGGATGAGTATTAAGCATATATACTAAGAAGTAATCTTCGCAAGCCAAGGGTTTCTAATACGCTACTCTCCTCATAAACCCTTGGCATACGGTAAAGACAAAAGACGGGATTGTTTTCCGACACGTGATCTCGAATCTATCAGGTACGCACAGATTGCGTCATCGCCAGAAATAAAGACACGTGTTAAAAAAAATTAAATCAAAGTTTTTTCAAGAATAATTAACAAGCAATAATTGAGTTAGGTTTATTCATTATTTATAGAACAAATCTGAAGCTTCAATATAGATTCTTAATCACATATTTAGAAGATATTGGATGACACTATGGCTATTCATAGAATTGAATGTTATCTTACGGATCGTTGTTTACTTGCTTTTTATCATTTCCAAGATTAAAGAGTTAAGATGTATCCCGAACGCAAATGTCGTCATTTACAAAAAACAATTGCTGATTGGTCGACCTGGGTGTACTGAAATCCAATCTTAACTCTGGAAAAAAATCCCGATTTCTATGAACACCGTAGGCCAAGGGTTTATGAGGAGAGTAGCGTCAGAAACCCTTGGCTAGCAAAGATGACTAAGAAGTATGTCTGTGAAAATGTAAGCATTTCAAAAAGCAATAAATAACAGCTTTTTTTGTCAAAGATTCGGGGTTATGTGATTTTTGCCTTGTCCGTCCGTCAGTCTGTCTCTTTGGTTGTTTGTCAGCAAAATACTTAACCTTGCCATAATGTTTTAGTGAGTTTGGCTATGGTTTTCAAATTTTACCAAGGTATTTCTTGTGACAAGACCTTTCTTTGGGTACCACCATATTTAACGTCTTGATCTTGACCTAAGAGAAATGAAAGGATGAGTATTAAGCACATATACTAAGAAGTATTTCTGTGAAAATTTAAACATTTCAAAAAGCAATTAGGACAGTTTTTATGGCCCAGATATCTTTCAAGAGTGAACCTTCTTTCACAAAAAAATATCAAACTTTAACCTTTGCCATAATTTTTGAATAGTTGTTGCTAGGGCTTCCATACCAAACAACTGTATACATTGAGAAAGACCTTTCAATGCATTGGGTATAAACTATAAATAATTCTGACCATGAACTTAGTATTGACCGAACTATTTTATTTTAAACCAGAAGTCTCTGTTGAGACTGTAGCTCTACTGGTTTGTACTTATAACAAAGGATGAGAAAAGAAGCCATTGCCATCAGACCAAAACTGTAGAAGGAGTAGCGTTTTAAACGAAATTCAAAGACATTTCTATTTTTAGTAATAATGGTAACACTGTTCATCGAAATCAAAAACCGATGCACTGTTATATGTATCTTAGTGTAGTCTACTTGTGTGCCAAGTAATATTGAAATCAGACAAAAACTGTAGGAGGAGTAGCGTTTTAAAGGAATTTCACAGAAAAATTCTATTTTTTGTAACCATGGCAACACCGTTCATCAAAATCAAAAACCAATGCACTATTTTATGTATCTTAGTGTAGTCTACTTGTGTGCCAAGATTTATTGAAATCAGATTAAATCTGTAGGAGGAGTAGCATTTTAAAGGAATTTCACAGAAAATTCTATTTTTAGTAACCATGGCAACATCGTTCATCGAAATCAAAAACCGATGCACTATTTTATGTATCTTAGTGTAGTCTACTTGTGTGCCAAGTTATATTAAAATCAGACCAAAACTGTAGGAGGAGTAGCGTTTTGAAAAATTGTTTACAGACAGACAGACGGACGGACGACGGACACCTTACTATCGCATAAGCTCTTCTGGTCTCTGACCAGTAGAGCTAAAAATCAACCTTGGTCATTTCTTCAGAAGAGTTACAACCAGGGCTTTCTTATTTCACAGGTTTATTTCTTATGATAAGACCATCCTTTGTATACCAACAATTTGGACCTTTTGACATTGCATTTTGACTTGCATTTGAAAAACTTCAACCGTCGCGATAAGCTGCTAAATGGGACCTTCAGTATTTCACAAACACATCTTTTATTGGAATAATGCTAATTAAATTACCGGCACCCCGAAATTTTTAACCAGTATTTAATTTATCTGTTATGATCCATATGAGTGAAAAATTCTCGAGAGGGGCGTTAAACAATATATAATCTGTTATGAGGTTCAAATCATCTTTTCGGATCAGCTTTAATATGTTTTGCAAAATTCTTCCGTTTCTAGTTAGCTAAGGATTTTAGATTTGATTCAAGCGTTATTTTACTGTGCTATCTTACTTGAAATAAAATTGCTTGTACTATCTCAAAAAGTCGATCAAATATGGCGAAGACTACATGCATTGTGTTGGTTCTTTCTATTACTTCGTTTTCTGGAGCATTGCTTCATGGACATTCGAATGCTTCTGCATCCAACGTGCATACTGATCTTGATGTGTACAAACAACTGCTTCATCTTGAAACAACTTTAAATTCAGTTTACAAAGAATTATTAACATCGAAAGAACAAAATCTGCAACAACAGAAAACATCTGAAGACCAACAACGAAGACAACAGCAATTGATAGAGACGATGAACCATACGATTCAGAACCTAGAAGCTTCATTCCAAGACGTTAAAAGTGAAAACAGTGTTCTGAAAGATAAAATATACAGTTTGAATTCTTCATTCTATCAATACAATTTTACTTATTCCGATAGTTTTCAGCGACAGAAACAATTTGATGAGCTCCAACTTCTCCAACAGCAACAAGATTATATGATAGAGTCGATGAACCATACGTTCCAGAATCTAGAAGCTTCATTTCGAGACGTACAGAGTGCAAACGGCGTATTGAATGGCAGACTTGATAGTCTGAATTCCTCATTCTTACAACAAAATCATTCCAGTGTCGATTATATCACAAAAGAACTTCAACTACAGACACAGAATCTATCACTTTCACTTATGGAATTGAACAAATCTAGATCAGAGGACATCGAAACATTAAGAAATATCATTAGAAGTAGAGAACAGGACGTACCGAAAAATATAACTTCTGTCGTCAATAGCCTTAAACTGAATGATAGATACTTATCGCTTTCCCTATTAGATTTGCAAAATAATATATCAATGATTGGAACACTTCTCCAGGAACAGCAGAGGATACAATCAAACCAGCACAAGCTATTGCAGATGGAAATCCAAAATCTCACTTATTCATTTAACAAGAGCACAATTCTTCTTTCCAATCTCCAAACACGTATGTATGCAAAAAAATTTCTTATACTTTCAATTGCCTCTACATGTATACCGGTATATTATAATGACTAACCATACGTTTTTCAGGTTCACTGGAGTATCCTTTTATCGTGTCATACAAGTTTTGTAACATATTTTTTTTTACAATTTAAATTTTTGGAATCAACTTTACCCTCAATGCAGAAGATTACTCTGAAAACAATTTAAATTGTAGACGATTTTTAAAAATGATTTTTATGAATCATATATTTTTAATTACGTTTCACTTTAATTGGTAATCGTATTATTTTATTTCTTCAAGGTCAAGAGACAACCGTTGCGTTTACAGCGGGGGTCTGCAATATCCCCGGTGATAACAAAGTATTTTCACCAGGACAAACTGTAATATTCAGACAGATTATCTACCAAGTGGGAGGTGGATATAACCCTTCATCAGGAATATTCACCGCCCCGAAGACTGGACTCTACGTCATATTCTGTACTAATGTGGCAGAATATCATGAAACCTTCTGGACAAAAATAATGATAAATGGTTCAGCTAAGGCAGGAGTCATGGCACTTCTTCGATCATCTAACGTATACATCTACCAATCAGCCTCCAACCTTGTTGTCCACCTATTACAGATGGGAGACAGAGTCTGGATACAAGTTCGCAGTGGTAATCATCTGTGTTCAGATTCACCGGAAACAACTTTTTCTGTGGTCATGATCAATGGATCATTCTAAAGTCGACATTGGTGGAAATAGTTTTGAATAAAATTTGTTATTTATTATATATATTTAGCGAAACATTGTAACGCTTCGAAACGCCTACCTTTTGTTGAGAACAAAGACTCCGATGTAAAGTTTTAGAATTTTTTTCAGTTATTCATGAAGAGCTAAAATGATTGATTGATTGTATATTGTTTAACGTCCCTCTCGAGAATTTGGAGACGCCACCACTTGCTGGTGGAGAGTTGCAAATTTTGTTCTTTCCTCGGCATTCATGGCCATTGAGCAGGAAGGGATCTTTTTTGTGCCAGCACCTACTGCGACACGGGACCTCGGTTTATACGGTCTCATCTGAAGGACCGGTCTCCAAGTCCCACAGTGGGATTCGAACCCGCGACGTAGGACTCCTTACTTCGAGACTGTAGAGCAGATGCTCTAACTACTGCGCCATGCGAAAAACAGTGTGTAAAACTGACAAGTCTCAACCGTTGCAGGCGCGGATCTGGAAATTTTTCAAAGAGGGGGGGGGATGGCTTTTTCAATTGGGGGGGGGTGAAGGGGGAAAGAGTTATTATAACGTACGTTTTACACATACATGTTGTTAAATAACTCAATATGATACAGGGTGGAGTATGGTTTTTAAAAGTGGGAGGCTGATTAACCTGGGAAAAAGTACTTGTATCGAAACATGTACATAAAATAGACATATGACTCTTCAATGTATATATATATATATGTATCATATTGTGGTATAGGGCATCAGTATTTAGGCCTAATGGTAATTAATTAATGTACATGCATTTTTGAACTTAATGTTTATAAGACAGATAGAGAAAAAAAAATGCAAAGTACATTAGTAGTAGAGACTGAAGTACACATGAATTGAATAATTATGTATTTCCTAACATTTTTACTTTTATCATTTTTTAATGAGATTTTTTCTCTTAATAAAAGATTTGGATAAAAAGTCACATAGTTTAAATAATATATTGTGATCTTCATTTGCCATAATCCATAAAAAATTTTGATTGTTGGACAGAGTGTTGAAATTTTTATAATTGTCACTTAAAAAGTTAATCAAAACTTTCCTTTCTTCATTATATAAAGAACAATTTGTAAGGAAATGGATTTCATCTTCAATACAATTTGAATTACAAAGAGTACATGTCCGTTGACTTCTTTCTAGAGGGATCTTTTTTCCATTAATACCTTTTGTGTATTCATATCTACCACGTTCAAATCTCAATTCATGTGCACTTATTCTAAATTTACACAGTATAAATGAGTAAACGGTCGATTTTTTTTGTTTTTGTATCTTTTGTACCCGTATATGATTTCTTATGTGAAAATTAGAAAATTTTAAATGCAGAACACATATAAAAATAACTAATTTATTCTTAAAAATTAAGAAAAATAGAGAAAATTCGGACAAGTCAAAATTCATTTTTATTAACTATTCGTGTCAATTTGGTAATGTCATCTTATAGACCCTGGTCCGCCGTTATAAAACATACTTAAGTCTGAGAATGCTCTCAAGTCTGAGAATTTTCTCAAATCCAAAATTCTCAGACTCAGCCACCGTCATAAAAAGTTGAGAAAAATAAATTCCTTAAACTCTGTTTTATTCTTAAGTTCTCAGCTAAGTATTCTCAAGACTTTCAAGAGTGGAGAATTCCTTTGAGAATTCTCAAAGTTTTATGACGGCGGACCCCTATATGGCAACATCTTTTTATGCAAAAAGAAAATCATTTAATCTTTAGAAATAGGGAACCGTATTGGACTGTAAACAGCCTATATCTGAAACGATCTTCAAGTTGTCTTTTCAGATCAAATAAATATGTTTGCAAAATCCCTCTGTTTCTAGTTAGTATTGGATTTTAAAATAAATTCATACGCTTTTTTACTGTGTTATCTTATTTGCAATGAGTTTGACATGTCCTTGTTTTACACATATATCTAAAAGAAATTGTTCAACTATGGCGTGGATAACGTGCATCGTGTTGATTCTTGCTAGTATTATTTCATTTTCTGGTGCATTGCAGCATGGTAACTCAAACACTTCTCCATCTTCTAACCCACATACCGATCCTGACGTGTACAAACAACTACTTCATCTTGAAACAACTTTAGATTCAGTTTATAAAGAATTATTAACTTTGAAGGAACAAAATCTTCAACAACAAAAAGCATCTGATGAGCTCCAACGACGACAACAGCAACAAGATCAAATGATGGAGTCGATGAACCATACGATTCAGAATTTAGAAGCTTCATTTCAAAACGTACAAAGTGAAAACGGCATGTTGAAGGAAAAGTTAAATAGTCTGAACTCCTCGTTCTGTCAACAAAATAATTCCAATTTTGATGGTATCACAAAAGAACTTCAACTTCAGGCACAGAATCTATCACTTTCAATTATGGAATTGAACAAATCTAGTTCGGAGGACATCCAAACATTAAGAAATATCATCACAAGAAGAGAACAGGAAGTGCCGAAAAATATAACCTCAGTCGTCAGTAGCCTTAAAATGAACGATAGATACTTATCGCTTTCCCTTTTGGATGTTCAAAATAACATCTCAGCGCTAGGATCATCACTCCAGCAACAGCAGAAGACACAAACAGAACAACATCAACTAACACAGGCGGGGATACAAAATCTCCAAACACGTATGTATGAAAAGGTATTTCTTTAATATTTCAGTAATCATGTATAAATACCTTTTACCCTACATAATCAACTAATATACTAAGTATATATAATATTTCATTTTGGAACTTGAAAAATTATGTAACTCTTGCATCTACATTTAGCGATAACTTTTCAGAACCATTAGGATATCCTCCATATGAATGTTATTCTAGAAGAAATTTCATAGTGTCATTCATGTTTTGTGAAATATTGTAGTTAAATTAAAACTTTGGAATAACCTGTATCCTTAATACAGAGGATCACTATGAAAACGGAAAGTGTCGAAAACTTTTGTAGACGATCTTAAAAAAAAATAAATAGTACTGAGTATTAATTCTTTCATAATGTTTCACTAATATTGGTAAACAATCACATTCTTGGTATTTTTTAATATTTTCTTCAAGGTCTAGAGACAACCGTTGCTTTTACAGCTGGAGTTGGAGCTAGCGATAATTGGGCATTTTCACCTGGACAAACTATTATATTCCCACAAGTTATCTACCAAGTGGGAAGTGGATATAATCCTTCAACAGGAATATTTACTGCCCCAAAGGCTGGTCTGTATCTTATATTCTGTACCACTGTGGCATTTCACGACGAAATTTTCTGGATCAAAATATTGATTAATGGTTCAGTTAAGGCAGGAGTCATGGCTTATCATCCCTCATCTAATACGTATGTATACCCATCAGCCTCCAACCTTGTTGTCCACCAGTTACAGGCGGGGGACAGAGTCTGGACACAGGTCTATCAGGGTAGTCAACTGTACTCAAATTATCCAGATACAACCTTTTCTGTCATCATGGTCAATGGATTTCTATAATATCGTCACTGGTACAAGGTATAAGAAACCTGAGGGGGGGGGAGCTTTCGAAAAAAATCTGTATTTAAGAACCTGAATATTTTCACATAAAATCATATGAAAAAAAGTTTTAGTTCATGATCAATAGATTTATGGATGTGTTGTCAAAAGATTTAAAACATGATTGTGACGTAAACTTTTTGTTTGTGTTGTCCATTCTATAGCTTAAGTGTTGAGCTATCTCCCCTAACTATCCATTAAGTCACCTTTAAGTGTCAATTCTTTTTGAAAAAACTGTCTATTCTTCTTTCAGAATAGACAGTTTAAAAAAAAAAATAGATAGTTAAAACAAACAGAATGGAGAGTTACAGGTAAACCTTGGCGTGTGCACAAGAGGGAAACAAAAACAAATACTTTAAATACGATTTAATGTACATGTAAATAACAAAAAGAACTTGGAGATTTAAGTTAATCCAGAACACGGTGTCTGCATCGGATCTGTTCGATTTTACACATTCAAATCCATGAATATTGCATTTTATTTCAATTCTCAAAACTCATTTTTTTTCCCACAAAACTTGAATTTAAATGACACAATTTCACATTTGATTAAGATTTTGGAAGCATCATTTGTTTGTTTGTTTGTTTATTCAGGAAATGGCACAAGTCATATATGAAACATAAGATAGAAACATTAGAACATAATTGGCACATGGAATCCAAAGAAATCATAAGATTTCCTAAAAAATACAATTGTAATAAAACACTGGCATTATTTCATAAAAAACAAGTACTTAAGAAAAAACATTTAATTCAGTATATCTAAAAGAGAATGGCGGGTAACTATATAATTTTTGTACTAAGTATAGCCATTTACCCGAGGATGACCCATAAAAGCAATAATGTGCTTATTTCCAATGGAGTCCTCATAAATTGTAATAGTAATTAACCTACTTAGCACTAAATGCTATGATATAAATAAGAATAAATAAAACATAAATGAATAAGGCAATATATATGTTTTAGGAAGCTAATAGAATAAAAACTCATTTTCAGATATTGAGCGCATTTTAAATAAAAGGTGTTTTTTTAATTCTTTTTTGAAAACAGCTTTGTTTTTGATGGATTTTATCTCATCTGGAAGTGAATTCCACTCCTTGATACCATTATGATAGAAAGTATCCGACTCTAACTTACATGTAACAATTCCTTGGGATAAAAAAGTTCAACTTGCTGGACCTAGTTGTTCTAGTTGTTCTTGTAGAATTTTGAATAAAATGCTCAGATAAATAATTTGGACATTTCTCATGAAAAATATTAAACACATGATTAAGTCGGAGTTGAGAAACTCTATTACTAACATTCAAGAAGCCTACTTTTTCAAATTCGTCAAAAGTAATTCTCTTCCTTTGATGGCTATTGAGAATAAACCTGATAACTTTATTTTGAGCAACTTGTAGTCTATTTTTCATATTTTTTGTCAAACCTTCATACCAACAAGAGCAAGCATAGTCAAAATGACACTGGATTAAAGCTGTACATAAATATTTTCTTGACAAAAAAGATAAACAATCTTTATATCTAAAAAGAAATTTCAGTCGCTGATTTGTCTTGCTGATAATATTTTCAACAATTTTTTCACCAGACAGTACATTATCTAAAAATACACCCAAATATTTCACACATGTTTTTGTTTCAATTCTGACTCCATTACAAAATAATGAAAAAGATTCAAGATTAAACTTATCAAGTTTTCGTCGAGTACCAAACAAAATGCTTTCCGTTTTACCCAAATGTAGAGATAGCTTATTGTCTACTAACCAATCTTGACAGAGTTCTAACATACAAGAGAGTTTTTTAGAAATAACATCTGGATCTTTGTGGGGAAAAAAGTATAGCAGTATCATCAGCATATAAAAGCACTTTACATTCATGGTCTATACAAGACTGTAAGTCATTGACATAAATCAAAAACAAAAGAGGCCCAAGCAAACTTCCCTGAGGTACTCCGCATGTTACATCACATAATGTAGAATTTACAAGTTGTTTCCTGTTGCACATATATGATTTAAACCATTCGATTGATTGAATACCAATAGCACTAAGTTTCTCACACAAAATATCATGATCAACTGTGTCAAATGCTTTTTGGAGATCAAGTAAAACCATTCCTGTAAAAAGACCTTTGGCTGTTTTACCTTTTATGTAGTCTGTTAAATGTATAAGACAGCTATCTGTAGAAAATGAACTTCTAAAACCAGATTGTAATTCATATAAAATATTATTTTCAGTCAAATAATTTTCTAGCTGTGTGTATATAGCTTTTTCAAGGATTTTAGAAACAATGCTAAGTATACTAACTGGTCTATAATTTTCTGGGCTTCCCTCGAGAAGAATCCATTTTCAGCTTGAAATCCATCATCCAGAAAATAATTTGCACCATGATGAAAACTACACTGCAGCAGTGAATATTTCGGTAAAAATAATTTAAAATTGAAACATTTCCAGATTTTATTTGAAAAACAGTTTTAGGTCGAAGTTTGGCTTATGACTAACCGATACTCAGAACACAATATGCATTTCACCATTACACTGCTGCAATCAATACTAAGTATAATCCTCAAAAATTGAATTCAAATTAAAGGAAAATAAATTCCAGTTTGAATTCGAAATATCTGTATTTGTCGTCGAAGAAGTTTTGAGGAGATCAAAATTTCGATAGTACAATAATTAACAAAATGTATAGAGGAAAAAATTATGCAGGCCTACACATGAAAAACTAGTCCGAAAAATCTGATGTTTTCCTGGCTTTTTTACGACTTTGATATTTTACATGCCAGGAAAACGTTTTCTTGGCATGTAAAATATCAAAATCGTAAAAAAAAAAAAAAAGCCAGGAAAACGTCAGATTTTTCGGACAAATGAAAAACTTGAAGGTTATGTACATGTATAAACAAATTTTTTTCTTACATAAAAAATATCATCGAATAAATACGCAAGTCCGTATGGCTTTTGCCGCTTCATCCTTTATGACATGGTTATACAAAGTTTCTTAGCTGCTGCATTCATTTTTTTTTTCTTAATATAAATTAATAAATAACTATTGCAACCATGCTAGAATCAGTGAACTTGGTTCGAATATTTAATCTCTGATGACAGACTTTGGGCACTGATTCGCAAATTCTCTGGTCTCTCTGTATAACGGAGAAACAATCTGGAATGTGTTAAATATACCCCCCCCCCCCCAAAAAAAAAATCCAAAAGAAAAATAACAAAACATTGAAATAAACGCTGGGGACCACTTGCTTATCTGAAGAGACTGGAGCTCGATCGGAAAGGCAAAAGAAGCGATTGTTTTCAGAGCCTATGCACATACATTGATTTGTTGATGAGCATTTTTGACAGCTCAAGAATAAATTAAACCATTCATAAACAATCAAAAATTGAATTAGTTTATATAATTTTTTGAAAAAAAAATACCAGTAAACCTATAAATTGCCGATTTTAATCATTTTTTTTTCAAGACAGTTTAGGCGTGTCTATTTTTTAAAATATATGTATTACGCAAATATATTTTTGTTTTGCTTTATCGTATTTTTTTTTCATCGGCAAACGCACAGACGAGACGTCACGTCTTTGAAGCGCTATTGTGACGTAATTACGTTTATGTCACGAAGGTCCCTTTTCGCTTGATGCAACTCATTTAAATTTCATTTTTTATCTAATCATTGAATCGCCATCTTCAGTTGTGAGTTGGCATTCATTAATCAATCAGTTAAAAATAATTTAAATTCGTGGACATAATTTAAATTGATTATATTTTTGGTTTGATAAGCGTGTACATTTATGTATTGAAGAAGCAACAAGATAAAACATTTAGTGGTGGGAGGGGTATTAATTATAATTTTTTAAGTCATTAGTATGATCTTGAACTTTGTTGGGAGTTTTCACCACCAAATAAAGCAAAAGGTACGTTTGAACAATGATGTTGCTTGACCTTTTTTCCACATATTTTGTTTAATTCTCAAACATCTCTTACAGTTAATAATATTTACCGCTATCAATATTTCTTTTAAATATTTATCTTTTTCAAGTTACTGCATGTATATACTGATGAGCCCGCATGGGACGAAAGCGCTTTAGATTAAAGTTTGAGTTTTTCATGTAAATTTGGATATTACTGTATAACATATATAGGAGAATTCATTAAAACAAATCTTGTATTATTTTATTAAATGTTCCATAGACATACATGTATGTGCATTAAAAACAAGTGTACTCCGCAGTTTGGAAGAATTCTGTTTGTCCTTCTTGGCTTTCTGTTTTCCTGGGAGGAATGCTCCATTTTGTACTATTTTTAATTTGGATGTTCATTGCAAAAAAGGTTTCAGTACAGTGAACTTGGTAAGGGAAAATTCGGAAGGTCTTCAACAGTACGTTGTATTGCTGGAGAATGTTTTTGCAACTGGTACACAACTGGTACACAATTTCATTATGATTTTCTTCTAGTTCTGTTTTTATTCCAATAAGCATCAGCCATTGTGCCTGGCTAAAATCCTTTTCTACGGACGACCATGTCGTCTGCCACTAGGAATTCGATTTTTGTTATGTTTCTTTTTAACCTCCTTGGTACCCGTTGCAGTTTCCTCTACATATGCTAACACCTTGCCCTTGTAATGACCTTCATCCCTATCAGAATTGAGTAGCTCTGACATTTTCTTTTTGTTGGCTGACGTATTGTTGTCACTGTGCTCAATGATTAAAATATCGTATGAATTTGTTTTGCCAATGGACATCAGAGGCCGTTTTTGTTTTGGGACCTGGAAACATTTTCGAATCTCCTTCGATGACTTTGGGATGCTCAATAATGGAGGAAGAATTTTAGGGGATGCTAGAGTGCGTGTTGTCGTTTTCTTCTCATATACTGCCTGTCCATATATTGATGGTAACTTACATGTCGTCTGGTTTGGATCTGACGCACTAGAACATGGTTCCGGGCGGATCTGCTTTTTGGCGGTTTGGATTTCCGGCATTTTGAAGACACTTTTGCTTTGATGTAAAAAATGGTTTACTTCAGCTTTCATTTGTAGACACGACTGAATTTGTGGAAGTTTAACTCCGTTGTGAAGTCCGTTTACAGAGTGTGAAAAAATTGGAGGTGAACCAGAACTTCCGTTTGATCCATGGATTTGCAACTGTGAACATCCATCATTGAGAGCGAAATCTTTTCCCTGGCTTAAAAGTCCGCTTCGACTTTCTTTGTGGGCTTTCTCTGATATGATGTCATTGATTTCGGGTTTTCTGAAAATCTTTTCATTTTCTTGACGTAGCTCCTTTCCGTTTTGGCTTTGTTCTTTTCTACTTGCATATGCATGGTTCTCTTCAGAAGCTTTGCTTTTCTCACATTCCTCATGTAATTTCGTTTTTCTTCCTATGCATACCAATTTTTGCTGGTTAACCGATGGTAGGTCCACAGGCTCTACGTTTCCTTGTGGAAACATATTTTCTTTTCTTTGAATGTTTTCTTCATCCACTCCTGAAGATCTATAACATCGCATTCGTTCTCGACAAATTTCTCGGATACGTTCAGTGAGTTCTCCAACTGACAAAGAGACTTCTGGAACATGAGAGCTCAAATCAGACTTCATCTGTTTACAAATATTTTCCAGTTTGATGCATTCTACCTGAAGAGTTGAAAGTTTGTGCTCCACAACTTTTTGCCAGCATACTCCCTCATCTTCTGTACATCCCAGCAATTCCCTTTCAAGACTTCTTTTTTCTTGGATATTTTCACTGCAGAGATTAACCCAGTGTCTACAATAGGACCAAATGAAAATGGATATACATGTACATCACACTAGCTATTTTGGTATATATGTCAAAAACCAAGTCCCCATCCTATTTTCGTGATAATTGAAATCGTTTCGAAAAATATCTTATTGAGAATAAGGTCGATTTTTCATGTCTTTTCACAGCCTTAGGGAGATGGGGTGTACATTGGTATAACTCACAGAATAATATTAATCTTACCGTAAAAGTGTGTCATTTTGTATCTTTCTAACGGCATCAGGGGTAGATTTTCTTGGTATTCCAGCTGCAATTAGACATACATATACAGTGTAACTTTCTAATATGGTGTCGGAAAAGAATGCACAAGAGTGCGTAGTATTTGTCAAATCAAGGTGTATAGGGAAAGGACTAAAGAAAAGGTAGTAATGTATAAAGTGTTCAGTGATTCCATGTTAGTCCGTTTTACACAACTGTTAATTTGCCAATGCGTTCAATCTGTGCTCAGTACGTTTTCTTATCAACAATCGATTCTAAGAAGCAACATCTTAAATCAACGATTACATATATTTATTATTTATTTGAAATCCATATGTTGATTAAATCTCAATTTAAATGGGTTTTTTAATTACCCTCATTAGACAAGAAGTATCTCAGCTTAATCAATGGGTCATCATATACTTTCTCTTCTGGAATAACGTCTAGTTCTTCTCTGACAAAGCTAAAACAAATTTATATTATCATCCCTTTTAATTAACAGAGAGAGAAAGAGAGAGAAAATTGTGAAGGGATTATTATTACACTGTACCTAGAAAGCTGAATATCGAGCTCAGCAGAAGAGTGCTCCGTCATTTTTGAAGTTGATGACTTATTTCCTACAATATAATACATGCAAACTGTGCTAAAACATGCAATTGCAAGTTAAATTTGACAAAACTGATAAAATCACGTCCTTGAAAAAATAAGTACAAGACTTACCTTTATCGGATTCAAGTTCAACCTGCATTCCAGGTTCAGACTCATAATTTTCATCCTCGCATATTGTATAAAGGCTAAAAAAACAAAAAACAAACGTGTTATCATCAAATAGTAATGACTTCACTTTGAAAATTAAATAATATATGTCTTAAAAATTGAAAGAGAGGGAAATATACCCAGAGATGTTGAAGTTTCTCTGATTCTCGCCTTCGGTCGAGTCTGCTACGAGTACTGAATGTCCTAAATGGATACGAATGATTTTTTTAAACAAAACTCTAAAATGCAATTCGTATAAATGGCAGTACACATAATAAAAGATGTAAATATACCATTATCCAGCATCTTGAAATATCTTTGGTGAATTTCCTCTTCATCTTCGTATATTCTTTCTTCACAAATCGTCGGAAGTCTAAAAATATCCAAACACATCCACAGTTGAATTATATGTATATCATAAATGATAATTGCTATCAATAATTAAAAAACTGTTGTATATAATACTTACGAATAGCTAAAATCCATGATTTCTACGTCTACAGAATCAATGACAATCCATTGTGACGTCACAAATACAATGACGTAACAATGCTACAACGAACACTATAATTCTGGATGGATGCCGTGTATTGTTTAAAAAATTTCCGTATTTTATTTTCTACATGTTTTTTTTTTATTTTTAAAATTGCAATGTAACATAAAATTAAATTGCATATAATATATATTAATAATTTAAATAAATAATTCTTTTTCGATACTATAGTAGCATTCATGAAAACGGTAGAAAAAGAGAAAATATGTAAACTTCCCGTTTTACATAATTTAGGTTATATTGTGGGCCTTTATCTATCAAGTTAAAAGTTTGAATCATTTCGAGGCCAACGGAGCGAATAGATGACTGTACAATGTTTTATTGTGTAAACCAGCGGTTCCATGATTTATATATGAGTAGAGTAAATATGCAGAAATATTGTATCTCACTTTTCGATGTAATGAATACCATGACTCCCCAACCCCCAACACGTCTCTCTCTCTCTCTCTCTCTCTCTCTCTCTCTCTCTCTCTCTCTCTCTCTCTCTCTCTCTCTCTCTCAATAAGAGATTTGGTCTGAGTTAAGCATCAACTATTTTAAAGGATTATAATCTCCGAATTTTCAATCTTCGACTATATATTAACAAAAGTAATTTTAGATGATGGGAGAAGTATGTGTTGTATTACTGTCAATCATAATCATTTCAACAAAAATGAGAAAAAAAAGTATCTATTAATCTATATCCATGGAGAGAGAGAGAGAGAGAGTTTCTAAAGTACATGTTGCATTTCACAGCGTTACTATTTCCTGATGACATCACCATGTCACTCAAAAGGTCATCCTGGGTAATATTTAAACAGCAGACACAGTGTCAGCAGACGACACTTTGTTTTTCCCCTCATTTGGTAACATCAGCATACATCACCATGAACTTCTCTCGCCTATTTACAGTTTTATGTTTAACTCATCTGCTCGTTTGTTCATTATGGTAAGTGAATTTTAACTTATTGTTTGCATTCGATTTTTAGATTCAAAAATTTGTCGATTGTATATTTCATGTCCGTTTATTATCTCTACTTCTTTGACAATTTGCAGAAATACTTTCTAAGGCTAAATTTATACTTTAACTTCAAAAGAAAAAGAATTATTTACACTTTTCATCGTTAAAAAATTGTTCTACATAAGATAATGATTAAAATTAAGATTATTTAAGAGGCTTTATAAAACGCATAAAGTTGTCAGAGAAGATATATATATGTTTGTTATAGTAATTTATATTTCCTAGAGCAAACTCATCATACAGTTAAATGAAAATCATTCAACAGAGGGTGTCCAACAAACTTACAAAAGTATTGATATCGGGGTTTTTTTTTCAAGTACAGTATCATGTTTTTTTTTCATAGTAGTACACTTAAGTTTTACAATGAAAGAAATTCAAAGTTTTAAATTTCTTAAATTGTTAAACTGAAATGTAACATTAGTAACCAAAAGAATTTTCTGTAGTCTAGCTCTTTTACATGTTAAGGAAAAGGTTGAGATAAAATTCCCCTGATTTTTAGAAAGTCAAAGTTAACGTAAAACTTGACCTTTCAGTTACGATTTTCAATCGACAATCGATTGATGCTATAGTCACGGATTCTGACTGGATAGCCCCCACCCCCACAAACCCCTCCAATCAGATGGAAATTAATTTCAAATCAAACAGAAGGGTACGAAATGAAATTTTTGAAGTATTTTTTAAAAATTACATATTTAAATGCACTTAAGTTTCCCCGAACATGCTTTATAAACCTTTGATGAAGATATTCTAAAGGAATTTAGACGGAATGTTGGATAGCGTCTAAAAAGACATTGTTTTAGTGTTTACCGCGTCACACTGGAGTACCAGCTTCATTCACATCGATTTGAACTTAAGTACCTCACGGTCTTTCTCACAAGTTCAAGATAACTCCACTTTTGGGTGACGAATACTAAAGAGTAACCATTGACTGCATGTCGAAATGACTGGGTGGGTTCTAAAGTACTTAACTCATAAGTTTCAGTGCATGTACATCCAGGTTCCTCAATGAGAAAAAGAATTTCCTTTAAATAAAGGATTTTAAAGTGTTCGTTTATTATCTTTACTTCTTTGATAATTTGTAGAAAGTAGAAATACTTTAAAATTAAGATTATTTAACAGGATTTATAAAACGCATAAAGTTGTCAGAGAAGATATATATGTAATTATGTTTTGTATAGTAATTTATATTTCCTAGAGCAAACCCATCATACAATTAAATGAAAATCATTCAACAGAGGGTGTCCAACAAACTTACAAAAGTATTGATATCGGTTTTTTTTTTCAAGTACAGTATCATGTGTTTTTTTTTCATAGTATTACAATTAAGTTTTACAATTAAAGAAATTCAAAGTTTTGAATTTCTTGAATTGTTGAACTGAAATGTAACATTAGTAACCAAAAGAATTTTCTGTAGTCTAGCTCTTTTACATGTTAAGGAAAAAGTTGAGATAAAATTCCCCTGATTTTTAGAAAGTCAAAGTTAACGTAAAACTTGAACTTTCAGTTACAATTTTCAATCGACAATCGATTGATGCTACAAACACGGATTCTGACTGGATAGCCTCCCAGTGGCGTAGCATCGTTTTTGAAAGTGGGGGGGGGGGGGTGTAGGTAAACTTTTTTCAGTGTCAACTACCTTCAGTACCAATTATAATACTACAATTTCGGTACATCACTAAAAGTGGGGGGGGGGGGGCAACCAGGCTTTCAATTAACATTTCCTATAGTATAAGTAAGGTTGGGAAAAAAAGTGGGGGGGGGGCAGGCCCACCCTGCCCCCCCCCCCTATTGCTACGCCCCTGCCTCCACCCCCATCCACCCCTCCAATCAGATGGGTATTAATTTCAAATCAAACAGAAGGGTACGGAATGCAAACTTTAAAGTATTTTTTTTAATTACATATTTACATGCACTTAAGTTTCCCCCAACATGCCTTATAAACCTTTGAAAGGAATGAACATATTCTAATGGAATTTAGACGGAATGTTGGATAGCGTCTAAAAGGACATTGTTTTAGTGTTTACCGCCTCACGCTGGAGTACCAGCTTCATTCATATCGAATTTGAACTTAAGTACCTCACGGTCCTTCTCACAAGTTCAAGATACCTCCACTTCTGGGTGACGAATACCAAAGAGTTACCATTGACTGTGCATGTCGAAATGACTGGGTGGGTTCAAAAGTACTTAACTCATAATTATCAGTGCATGTACATCCAGGTTCCTCAATGAGAAAAAGAATTTCCTTTAAATAAAGGATTTTAAAGTGTTCCTGTAAAGCAAGTTAGTAAGTTCCTTAAAAAAAACACCATTCTGTCTTTCGTTATGCAATTTTCAATGTACATGTATATACTACATGTAGTAATATGCAAAACTCTTTTTTTTTTTTAATAAATTCTATAATTGTCAATTTAGTTCAATTATTATTTATTTAGTTTTGGATTTTTCGGTGGTAGAGGGATGGAGGGAGTTTGTTTGTTTTTACAATTTAATAACGATATAAATCATAAAAAGAAAAATTAAAATATACACTTACATATCTCTTTCCTTACACGGATACACTGTACATATTTCTTTCATTGAGTTCACGTTTATCAATATAAAAATTAAGATAAAAAATCAGATATAGAGAAGATTTTCTTCGTACGGAAAACTTGTATGTTGGACTTAACAAATAAAGTGATTAAGACTCGTGGCTTGCGTTGAATGAATACTGAACGTATTGCAAGAGCAAGTTGAATTTAATTAATCTAAATTTTTTTAACTCCTTTTGCAAAAATTAACACATTATTTAATAAACATGGCTTTAAGCTCATCAACAGAATTGCTGATCTTCAACTCTTTTCACAAAAATTTTACGACTTTTGTTGGATGGTATGATATAAAGCTTTTAATTTTTCTCTAACGTATTATTCAAATTATAATATCATAAAAACTGAAGCGTATTTTTGTGTTAAGAATATAAGAAATCTTATCTAATTCGTAAGACTTGCGGAAAGGTCCATGGATTTTCCTGAGTGACATTTTAGCTTTTCTTTAACAGAGTTCGGTCCGTTGTCGAATTAAAAGAATATATTAATTGATATATTGATCCAATAAATTTCTTTATCTTCCTAGTGATATACAGGAGGGCCTAGTAGAAGAGGGTTCTGGTACGGTGGTCACACACACAGACACACACACGGACAACGTTCCAGTGATTGATGAAGACCTGGTTACAACGCAGGCTCCAAAACAAAACCATGAACTAGCCAAACAGGAATTAGGTAATACTTCTGTTGATTTTTTATGTGTAAATTTAAAATCAGCGACTCCCTCATATCCACCCAAGACAACGCAATCTCGATCTTCTCTTTGAAGGGGGGGGGGGGGGGGGGGTACTTAGAAATGTATTTAGCGCTATGTAGGTACATGGGAATCCAAAGGCGATTGCTTTCCATATAAATACACCTTTTTATCCTAAGTGAATAATATTAGTACATTAACAATAATAAGAAACGAAATGATAGAACAGAACAGAACAGAACAGAACAGAATATTTTATTACTAATTTAGAGCCCATAACAGACAAGTATGAGATTGTTATAATAATAAGGAAAAGATAAGCCAATGAATAGCAAAACAATTATACAATTAGTAATTGACATAAATCATTTTAACAATAATCCTGCCTAAAAGGAATACATCAAATATGCATGTATGTGTAAAAGACTAATGCTACTATAACATGTTATCATTTATAAATTTGCCCACAAAATTAAGAGTTTCCTTATCGTCTGTATTGAGTAACCAATAAAGTTTTTGTTCATCATCTAAAGCTGAAAATAGTGGAAATTTATGATTAATTAACTGAAATATTTCTTTTCTTTGATGATCAATTTTTTTGCATGTTATTAAAAAATGAGTTTCATCATCTATGTTGTTAGAATTACATCTATTACATAATATGTAACATGTTTCATTGTGCAAATTGTTTAAATTCTTGGTTTAAAAACAACACTTTCACGAATTTAGATGCGATCGCAAAAGTACCAGACTAACTCAACTAATTAAAAAAAAAATGAATGACAAAATGGGCGATGGGGGGGGGGGGGCAATGAAGATCGACTGCATGGGGTATACAACTAGCTTCAATCATTCAAATTTTGTCTTTAGTTAAAAAAACGTATTTTGATCCTTAGGTAATGCATGTTTATAGCTATACATGTACATCGAAAAAAGTTTAAAACCTAGAACAACTACCCACCCACCCCCCCCATTTTTTGAAAACACTTGCCACTGTCCAACAAATAAAACGATATCACTTCCTTATTGCGTACAAATACAAAACTGACCAATCAAACAAATTTCTTCTGAGTAATGTACACGCAAAACACTCTTTCTATCAGATCACATATTGCACTGCTGCTGGACAAAGGATGTTCAACTCTCGTCTGCATCCGGTTTTCAGAGGGTCATTGTTTTCATTTGTATTCAATGAGGGGGAATTTACGTAGCCACTCCTTTCATTTAACTAATTCGTATTCTTTAAAAGTAGGAAAACAAAATAATCATAAATAAAAGGAGGAAAGTCTGACAAATTTGGTTCATACTTGGCGTTTTCCAGTGTCATATCAAGTACACTGACACTGTTACAGGACGATTTCGAATGGGTAAAATTTTAAAATTGTATATAATAAGGCATCCTCATAAATTTATTGTTAACTATATTTGAAATATCAAAACAGGTGATGGGGTCTGAATATTGATGCTAATGTTCAATTAAAAATGCACCGCAAATTTAAATTCATATTTAGTATTGCCCCATTACTCTACAATATGGTGTGAGGATCAGGTCCGCAATACCACAGGCGTCTGAAGTATGACTCAATACACCCCCTCCCTCTTTTTTAATTTAAAAAAATATAGTAAGAGCGTAAAATATGTCAATATAAAAATTTTCCCCGTCAATCACATCAATGTGTCGTTCTATACGAGCAGATTGTACGTTTTTTCACGTTGAGAGAATGACCTTACACTATGAACACCAACGATTACGAATGAAAATAAGATTAAGCTCCGCCTATTCTGTAACGTAAGCCGTCCAACATCTCAATCAGTGGTCAAACATCGATTTATTTATGCAGCATCAGCAAAACATTAGATATGCTAGACTTTTTTCGTATAGATTTGTATAGGTACACATTTTCAAAGGTAAAACATACATGTGTATTTCATGCAAATGTTTCATTCTCATTGGCAGCGCCTGTTTCTGGTATCCATGGCAAAAAAGAAACAGCATCGCTGAACCTCGTTTTCGTCATTGTCCCCGCTGTAGTGGGCGTGGTTGTCATTGTGGCGGTTGTCATAGCAATTGTTGCCATTCGTAGAAAAAGTGAGTATTGTCAGAGAGCTTATATTTTTTGTCTGAATAACTTTTACATACTAAGATTTTTTTTTGCATTCACATTCACAATTTGCGTACTTGTATCATATACACGTGTATAGAGCATCGACGATAGCCTGTTCCATTGGCCTATACCATAAAGTCGGTTGCAAAGCTTCTAATACGGGAAGGTCAAGGGGACAACTGGGACCATATCTTAAAAAATAAAAAAAAAAATGCTGATCATGCTAATTTCTTCTTGAACATTTTATAAGATTAACTTTAAAAAAGTAAATTATTTAAAAAAATAATATTCGACTCTACCAAATTTCTATGAAGGGTCGTGACGTATTTAAAAAATCCAGAAATCTAAAAATCTCAACAACTGTATTTTATCGAACGCACTCTTGTACCGTGTTGTTTCTTTTAATACTTCGCATTTCATACCTAAAACTTGGAACTATCATAATCCGAGTAAGTTATTGAGAAAATTCCAAAATGTATCGGTTCGTATTTGTGATGTTCCGTATTTTATATCTTCGTTGTACAAAAATGACATCTGACATTTTTGACAAAACCAAATATAGTAACGATTAGTGGGCGGTAAATCTAGTACAGCGAGATGCTGATAGTACAGCCAGATGCTGAAAGTCCCGATATAAAGCTAGTAATTGTCCCAAATTACTTTGCAGGCAACGTTTTTAATTATTCGTTTTTGTTTTTTTTTTGAGGGGGGGGGGGTTATTAAGTATTAACTGTATATTATTAGTTATCCAGGTTCAATCAAGGGTGTACGGGGATTTACCCCGGGTTGTATTCCATACACCCTGAGGCCGAAGGCCGAAGGGTGTATGGAATACAACCCGGGGTAAATAACCGTACACCCTTGATTGGACCTGGATAACGAATTTATTTCCTTTGTTCCCATAAAAATGCTTTGTAAACATGATTTTTAGCTTTTATCATAGAGAATGTATACATTGTGACGTCACGTTTTATTTACACCCGGCTCAAGTCGGGTGCACGGATATTTACACCCGACTTTGTAACCAATCAAAGCTCGTGTTACAAGCTAGATAGGAAATAAGTCTGGTTTTACCATCCATAAGTTTTGAGACATACGACAACATTTTGTTGACTGCAAGTCATGGTTTTGGAACAGGATTCTCACTCACTGCATGCACTTGATTTTAAAAAAAAAATCTTCCCAGATCGTCTTGTCAGAGATAAAGGCGGAAAAAATGCATGTAAACTGCGTGGTATGTCAAACGACCTGGGCATATTCTAATATGGAAATACTTGTATCTAAAAGATTATGTTTTTAAAAAGAGATAATTTGGAAGGGGACTAATTATATATTTTGATTTTTTTAAAAATCGTATAATAATAACGATCGAGTAATATCACCATTTTATTTTATGGCAAATATTAAGTCTTTAAAAAGACAAAAGGGAATTAAGGAGGCTAATTGTTAATTTTGATATTTTAAAAAAATATAATAATGAAGAGGAATTTCAAAATTTTATTTTATGGTAAAGAATGACAGGGTTATATGTTTTGATACTATACTTTCATGTAAATTAGTTGAATCTGATTGGTCGAGAAACATTTGCTAAAAACACTATTACCCACTGAATAATGAAGCCACGCCCTCCAGCGTAGCAACAGTCAACAGTGCTTGACGACGGGTGATATTCCAAAAAATAGCGACTACACAGAATTTATGCGCGTACGGTTCACTGTTTGTATTTGTATAAAACATTCAGTATAATATAATTAATATTGCATGTAGTTGAGTGTAACATTGAAAATTTTCACCCCTCGAAAACCATTGTCCTCGGCTGTGCCTCGGTTGACAATGGTTTTCTTTGGGTGAAAATTTTCAATGTTACATTCAACTACATGCAATATTTATATAAAATTCTATTTTGAATAAAACTCCAAACATTTTCCAGGGGCGTAGTATCAGGGGGGGCCAGGGGGGGCCAGGCCCCCCCACTTTTTCTCCCGACATTACCTTTACTATAGAAAATGTTTACTGAAGGGAAGGTTGGCCCCCCCACATTTCAGCAAAGGGTAGTGTTATAAAAAAAATTTACCCCAAAAGTTTCAATTGAGAGATAGTTGGTCTTGAAAAAAGTTAGCCACTACCCCCCTCTCCCCCCCCCCCCCCCCCCCCCCCCCCCCACGAAATAGGATTTTCGACTTCGGGCAACTTTTAGTTTTTTTTTTTTTTTTTTTTTTTTTTTGCTTGTCAACTTGTTCAGGTAAGTAAAAAAAATTTTTGCTCAGGTTGGCCCCCCCACTTCCAAAAACGATGCTACGCGCCTGTTTTCAGAATTAGAGTAAATGATTTTCAACTGATATATGAATGTTACACTGAAAGGTGACATTCGCGTGTACTTCATTATACCCCCCGCTTGAAAAGTGGGGGTATATAGTAATCGGTATTTCCGTCCGTCCGTCCGTCCGTCTGTCTGTACGTCCGTCCGTCCGTCCGTCTGTCCGTCCGTCTGTTACGCTTTGGGGTACCCATCTCTTATCCGCAACTCCTCTCATACCAATGAATGAAATTTGATGAAACTTTCACAGAATCTTTATTACATATTGCCATTGTGCACCTCCTATTTTACTTTTTGATCCGACAGATATTTTGGGTTTCCCGGCCACAGGAAAAGATGGACTATTTCACCAGTTATAACCATATGGGAGGCGGGGGTATCATTTAGTGAGCTCATCGCTCACAGTACCTCTAGTTTAATTTATATCGGACGAGGACAAATTGTACAGATTTGCCTTGATGAGAGCAAGGCTGTACATAGTTTCACACAATTATGTAATTTTAAGTGATAACGCAACGTTTGGGAAATAACTGAATACATTGCATACATGTAATTCACTATAGTATTTAATGCAATGTAAAAAAAAAGTCATACACTAATAGGTGAACTTCAAAATAAAACTGAGGGGTCTTTTTGCTAAGTATTTCGGCAATAAAATAAAATTTCATATACGCTTTTCCTGCTTAAATTTCAACAGTCTAATGTGACATCTTTACGGAAGCAATTTCCCCACGTTCACAACTTTATTTTCAGAGAGAGAGAGAAAACAAATAAAATGATATTTATAGCAAATTATCAATAAACATCTTGTATATTTTCAGCCTTCAGGGAAAAAATGCTGCTGTAACATTAAATCTGATCGCCTGCTGGAACTGTGATAAACTTCATGGAGATGTGTAATTTCCGTCACATCTACATATTCTAAAGTCAGTTTAAATGATGTTTTATATTTATCTCAGCCCATGTTACTTTTTCCGGTTGTTTGTTTTTATATTTTCCACTGTGGCACACATTCAAAAAATAGATTTTGAACTTTTAATTTAAAGACTCGAGATATTCTAAAAGGACTTACATGTACAAGCAATGGAGCCAACACCATTGCACTCCTCACAAATCGTTCGGATAATTGAACTCTTCGTAATTCTGTTTCCCTCAACGTCCGGATTATTGCATTCCGGATTACTGAGGTTTGACTGTATAAATAATATATATCTGTATGTATAGCTAGACTAGTCGTTAATGTTGTTGACTAAACATGTACTCATTGAATGGGGTCAAGAATTTGTTGTCAGACAACCTTGTGCTGGAAATAGCTGAAAAAATACTCGATGTTGTTCATTTTGCATGGCTGTCCATCTTTCAACAGGAAATGTGCTATATCAAATTACGTCTTTTTTTTTGAGGGGGGGGGGGGGGTCTTTTGTTTGTGATTTTGCTTAATTTTTTTTTAGGTGTTGTTTTTATTTTAAAGGTTTCTGTATAAAGTTATCCTGATTATAAATTGCGTTTATTTTTTTATGTATATTGTTTATTTTAAAATATTGATATCTTTAACTCAGAACAGAATA